CGGACAATTCAATGTCATACATCCCGATGTAGTGATTGTTGTCTTATACATCGCTTACCCTACTTAAATTTGGATAGTGTAAAATATAATTTTCTAAACAGGGTTTTGAGGGAGGCTTAGGAGTTTTGCAAATTACAGTTAAAAGCTAGCTTCCTCTTATTCCCATATATTTTAGATATCTTAGTCTAACGTTCCCAAAAATACAACGGAAAAAGCTGACGAGATGATGATATTTTTGTGTTCAATCTGCGACTGTAAAATGTCATATCATTCACTTAACAGTTGAAAAGGCACGTTGTGGCGGACCGATAGATCTGAATTCACATTCGTCCAATACAGAGGGATATCAAAGACAAAATATCCCACAGAAGGCATATAATCGCTCAGCGACTTTTTATGGAATCTTTAAAAAGGCAATACAGGTCACTCAGTGAGTAAAAGGTTACCTCGATAAATCTTGGTTTAACTGGTACATGTACCTTAAGCAGTTACCTCATAAAAAGGCTACATTTCACAAATAAGAGGATTTTGGGGAATAAATGAAAAATGGCAACCAAGCAGAGAGCAGTAGAACTCAAATGTTCAGCGCCTTTTTGCTAGAAAATACCGGATACGTATTGGGGTATGCAGATCCAATAGAAGCCCTATTTTATTATGGTTTTTGCATTTCGCGACAATTTACTGAGGAATATATGAACTCTAGACTGCTGCCAAAATGGTGATAGCTAAGGCATCAGTTAATAAACCATTGTTGTGCTTTACAGACTTCTAATTTTAACTCACTCAGTCATTAAAATGCCCATGAATCGAGAGATTGTAAACACTTGAAAAATGTAATAGGAGAGTATTTACTTCTGTGTTGTTTCATAACCGGAGTTATATTTTTGACAGAATAGACTGGAGTTCAGCTTGAAATACTCTCATTCTGAGAAATCATCATGTGACTGTAACCTCACGAGGCGTAGTAAAATGGATCGAAAATACCAAGCCTGGAGTTTTTTTTTAATACACGAATAATCAAGTGATCATTTTCGACACTTTTTTGGTTTCGTATAACAACAAAAGTTTTTGGAACTGACGGTACTTTTTCATTGCGGATCTTTGATTTCTGAAAGAAATCCATGAGATAAAGTTTATTCATCTAGACGCTTTCATCTTCGAGAAACGGTTTACATGAGTTGTGGCACATAAAAAAGAAAAGATTACCATCCTCTCCGGAGCACAGCCACTGTCCCCCGCGGTAGTCTCCTAGCAAATGGTGACATTACCAAGAGGAGATTGTTTTATGTCATGTAAAACAGCAGGCTTAACGCGTGTGACCATTCGGAGAAGCAAGATAACTGAAGGATACTTGTAGGTGGCTTCGGAAGATTAATCAAAAGATGAGATTATAATAAACTAAAGGGCAAACAAATATGTCCAAGGATACTTCTCAGTCGTCCCAACCCATATCCCTTTATATTTTACAGTAAAGTTTCACCGAACATCATGCTCGCTTAATTCACCGTCTGTGGCAACTAACGTGTGTAAAAACATTGAAACGGCAGGCATCAGACAACTTTATTCAATCCAAGTGCGCACTGAGCACTCATCGACTCAACAGCCACGATGACTACATAGGCTTTATGAAAACGTAATCTAGCGAGAACATGCAGTTGCCATGTAAACAGAGCATGCGTAGCCTAAAATGCTTACTTAAAATGATCTGAATTTTGTCCAAAAATTATTCCCACGGCCGGTTATCAATCAGGGGCACAAACATCTTGAAATAGGCTGGAAATGAGCGAGAGAGGAGCCAACAGCTAGAGACAAAAATAACTAAATAGGACGATTTGCGGCTCAGGCGCTGCGTATGTGGACGTCTGAGAAGACTGTCCCAGGCATTTATCCATGCGCTGGACGCTTTCTGCTTGAAAAAGCCTACTCTGGACTGCGAGCTGTGTTGCATACTGCTGACGAGACGAGACGGCTCTTTGAGACTTCGATTTGTAAGCCGCGTGCAACCAATCACATCACAGGCATGCCTGCATCTCACCTAACGGACGCTTGCGCGCTTAAGGGTCTGTGTGGGGCGTATGGCCAGCCAAGAGCGCGTTTACCTAGCCCACAACCGGCATGAAGTGACAGTCAGGACAAAAGCGCAGAGGTTAGGAGTGAAGCACGCTTCTCTAGTTGACGGATAAGCGCTTTGCGTTTATTGAACGATATGGAGATAAAGTCACCAGACTAGACTAGCCAGGCTCGATTCAATGTTTAGCATAGGTTTAAAATGAATAGGACTGACGTGCGTGAAGCTGCCGCATATTTTATGCACCTGAGTGATGATAGTCATTTCATAAGGTATGTATTCCACCAAAAACTAAACAGCATTAGCGAGGTAGGTAAACACTGTCAGATGCAATGTGTTCCAACAAACCACGTTTAGCCGTATCGAGAAAAAAGGTGGAAGATAATCAGAAAGCAATGTACGTTCATAAAATTCTACCCAGTATCGCATTAGTAATAATGCGGATGAGACAGCTAAAATAGTTAAGCGCCTACGTATTTTTAGTTACACACGGGTAAAGATGCGAAAGGTAAAATTAACCTTACCGTGGTTTAAATTGCATAGTAGGAAGCGAAACCTAGACTGGCAAGAAAACGGCCAGTCTGTTTTTGAATGACGACCATTTAGGCTCCTCATTTTACTTAATATCCACTTTATTCTGCAAGGATTAGTAAGCAGCCAAGTGATAACTTGGATCATACTACTCAGTTAGTGGTTTCCAACCACATTTAAGCAGGAATTCAAAATGTAAGAAGCACAGTTGCTCAACTTCTCTCTAAAATTTTGCTTTCGCAATAAAACAGTTGAAAAAATTCGGTCTTAAAATATACCCAGTAGCCGACACCAAATTTAACAAAATATCATTTAAAGGACACACCGTATTGGCAGCACAGTTACAAATTAAAAACTGAGGCACCTAGCCTGTCAGTATTTTAGCGATAAATGGTAAAGCTAGAAAGTTACACCTCTACAGTGGCACCCTAGTGTCCCCTTGTGATTTCTAATGAAAAATGCAGTTCCTAACATTCTTTTATGTAATTTACTCAGAATTTAATCATTCCCTTAGACACACTCAACCATGTATCATGTATCCTGTAATGTAATTCTACTTTTATTATTAGTCGCTGTACGGCTGCTAGCGGGCTTCAAAAGTGAGCCCGAAGGCACAACGGCACGAGCGAGTCCCGTAACCTTTTGGTTGCGTAGCTATGCGCGGCTGATGCTCAACATAACCAATATTGAATAGTGAAGTAGTTTGTATTTAAGTTGATACAAATAAAAGAAAGAAGGTCTTCGGCAAATCGAGTTGTACTCATTAAATTTTAAACCGGTAACACCGGCCCGTCGTCAACCTAAACGAAAATTGGGGACTTAGGTTGTCGCACTAGAGTGTTTCGTGGGGGAGGCAGGTAGACGGACGTTTACGGGAGGACAAAAACGTCACGGTTAGTATTATGGTCAGATAGGGTTCACACACCACGGGATGCTGCATCAATACATTTCCACACGGTTTGGCATTCATACGCGATTGTTGTGGGTGCAAGTCAGTGGGCCGTGTACGCAAACCATCGTAATGTTAGTCGAGATCGACGTGCCTGTTAATACTAGTCAGAATCCAGTGTCAAGCTGTAAACGTCTGTCTACCTGTCTCTCTCCACCAAATGCGCTAGTGCGACAACCTCATTCCCAGCTTTTCAGTTAGTTTGACGACGACTCGGTGCTATCTGCTCGAAAATTAATGTTTAGCACTCGATTTTCCGAAGACCTATTTCTCACAACCAATATTGCCTATTCACATGTTACTTGAAAACAGTTTGTTATTTTTTGTTCGAATTAGGATAGTTGGCAAAATGAACAAGATTTCTGTATGACAATGCACGATATATATATATATATATATATATATATATAT